ATATCATGTTTAGTAAGGTGGAGGGTCAGAGCAAAAGAAGAAGACCCCTAACGGGATGCTTTGGCCAAATTACATTATCAATGAACTCAAGTGTGGCAGCAGTAATGAGGTTGGTCCAGGATCGGGCAGTGTTTCATTCTGCTGTGCATAAGGTCACTATGGGTTGGTACTAACTCGATGGCACTTGCCTGGATTTTGGTGTTTTTTTTAGAGTGTGATTGTAGCTTGACTATATGGCAGCAATTGCTGTCTCTTCTTGGGTAATATAGGGAGAGAATGAATTCCCCAAAGGTAAAAGGGGAAGCATAAAACAGCAAAACCACAACAGCAAAAAAATAAGGAAAAGACAAACAAAAACACACCACCACCACCACCACCCCTACAACAACAACAAAAATTAGATTTGATACTGTAGTCTATAATCGCCGAAAACGGAGAAGAGGGAAAGAGGGGGAAAAAAATTTGTAGCCTAATATGTGTATGACTTTAATGTCCTCTTTCAGCTTCTTGGCTTCAAGGCCATCTGATAAATTTCAGGATGCCACTGTTGGTTGTTATGCTGTACCTCAGGATTTCATTGAATTTTTGTCTTGTTTTGTTTTTAAGCTCTCCCTCTCCACACCCATTGTTTTGGCCTTTTCCCCATTAAAATACAGTTCAGGGCTGGCTCTTGGGCTGAGAGTATCTGTGTGCATGCATGGCAGAAGAACCCACCAGTGGTGGGGTGGGGGCTGTCCACTCTCTCAGCAGCCCCTCAAGTCACCAGAATGGAGGAGTGGAAACAATGGAGGGGACAATGAACAGATACCAAAAAAAAAGAAAAAAAAGAAAATCAAGACAAAGCAAAACTGACAAAGTGTATTGTCCACCTTTGCCCCGAGTTTTCTGCGGTGTATTCCATGGTGTGTCTTTTCCCCAGCTTGGGCTTGCCACTTGGTCTCGCAAGATGTCAGCTCTGGGTGCCGAGCTTGCAGATTCAAAAGTACATGATTTCTTACTCCCACTACAGGTTCCACTAGCTATAAGCCTTCAAACCTTTAAAATATTCCTGCCTATGTGGTTCCTAGGTCAGCAGTTCGAAACTACCAGCGGTTCCGCGGGAGAAAGATGAGGCGGTCTGCTCCCGTAAAGATTTACAGCCTCGGAAACCCTGTGTAGGGTCGCTATGCGTCGGAACCGACTCCACGGCACATCACAACAACAACAACAATGTGGTTCCTGGTGTGGTGATGTGTGTTAATATGCCAGACTTCAAAGCCGTTTGAATTGCAAGGTTGGTGGTTCAAGCTCACCAACTGCTTCTCGGAAATTCTATACAGGGTCACTAGGGTTGGAACCAACTGGATGGCACATAACAACAACAACAGCCTATGTCGTTCAGATTTTGGAGCTCTGCCCTGAACCTGCTTTGCCTGGTATTCTGTGGTATTCAGTTTGAACTGCCAATCATGTGGTTCACAGTGAAGGTGAACTTCACTGCACCTGTACCCTATCTACCATCAAGCCCTGCCCTCCCTTTTTTTTTTTTTAACTTTTTATTGTGAATTGAATGAAGGTTTACAAGATCATCAAGTTTCCATTCAATAAATCGTACACTTTGTTTCATCTCAGTGATTGCAATCCCCTCCATGCAACAGACAGTTATCCAACTTCCTCCCTGTGGTTCCTATTTCCATTCCACCTACTTCCACACCTACGCCCCCACCCACCCCAAGTTTGTCTTCAGGCAAATGTTGCCCTTTAGGTTTTGAATGATTGACCTTTCCATGGTTAGCACACCTTATTGTTGAACACTCATCCCTTTTGATACTGAAGTCAGAAGAACTTCACACTGTGAAGTTGATCACTCTGTGACTACTCTGTGATCAAATAAGTCTGATAAATGTTGTGTATTATAGCCTCTTCTCAATATTTAAGGTATGTGTTGTTTTTAAGTGCCATTGAGTCAGTTCTGATTCACGAAGACCCTGTGTGTGTTTTCCTAGGAGCAACTAGTAGGTTTGAAATGCCAACCTTGTGGTTAGCAATCCAGTCCTTATCCTACAGCACCACATCAGGATTCCCTTAATGTATATGTTG